TGTCCACCTAATAGATGGACTCCCTACGAAATCAGCCGCCAATTCGCATCGGGAGTGCAATACATAGATTTACGAAAATATATGTACAGTTTGGTCCGCACCAATTTATGATCAGTGTCACACTCAGCTCCACGCAGTACACGTGTCATACGCACTTCACGCTGACGTACGATGACATAGTCGAGCAGGTGAGCGTGACCACTCCAGGTTGCTATACCCGCTGCCTTTCGGGTGTACATTTAATCGAAGGCTTTGGCTGAGGATCTGAGTCGTTCTCCTGTCAGGTGTGGGCGCCCTGCCAGTATCCTAGTCCATCCTCTTCGGAGGTTAGGAAGTGGTCGATGGCCCTCTTCCCGTAAAACCTAGCCATGGGAGACAACAGGTCTACGGGTTATAAGCTCACAGCTCGATTGGCGTAGAGCACGAGCGCCACGCATTATCTCTGACAGTGGGAGGGCACCTCCGGGTGTTCAATGGTTTGCTACGGCCCGCCTCAAGCCAGGCAGCCCCTGGTTAAATTGGTGCAAACCCACCAAAAGCCACCTGCGTCTGGCTGTGGTCGCAGGTGCGTATCCTACTACAGTCGCAAAACATATATAAAACGTTCCAGAACCTCAAAGGCTGCGTGTGACGGCCGTCAAGCAGATCCCAATCGGTCTCTGCAATCACATTCCTGAGCTGGATCTGCTCCCCGCTGCCTTGCAGGTCAGGCTATTGAGCCAAAGGCTCCGGGCGGAGTTCCTCAAGCAAACCTCCAAACAACCCACTGCCTTGCGGGTCAGGCTATTGAGCGAAAGACTCCGGGTGGAGTCCCTCAAACAAAGCTCCGAAGCACAACGACCATCTCGCGTGCGCTTGCCCACCAATGCAATCGTATGCCTGCGCGCAAAGCACTCAGCATCGGGTGCTGCAACGTGCGCACACTACTGTACCGGAAGTCCAGTGAGCGCCCCGAGCGACGCACTGCACTGGTCGCGAAAGAACTGGCGCGGTACAACATCGATATTGCGGCGCTCAGTGAAACCCGGCTTGATGAGCAAAGTAAGTTGCATGAAGCAGGTGCTGGCTACACATTCTACTGGGTGGGCAACACCGCTTCAGCACCACGTGATCGTGGGATCGGATTTGCAATATCCGATCGCCTCCATGGCCAGCTCGTGGATGAACCAACATGCATCGGCGCGCGACTGATGACTGTTCGCCTGCGACTCGGAAGATGTAAGTTTGCCGTTTGTATAAGCACGTACGGTCCGACCATGTGTTATCCTGATGACACGCGTGGTCAATTCTACATTCAGCTATCCGCCGTAATACGGTCTGTGCCGAGGAGCGACCGACTATTTCTGCTGTGTGATTTCAACGGGCGCGTTGGCCGTGATGCATCGGTGTGGACTGATGTTATCGGTCCGCATGGCATTAGTTCAGCGAGTGCGAACGGTGACAGGCTGCTCTCACTGTGCCACTCACGGCCTGACGATCACGAACATTCAGTTTTGTTAATAACAAGCCAATGTATAAACACGAGAACAGCCCTCGGAAAGTGAAACGTAGCATCTTCCCACTCATATCAGCAAATGGATGTGTTCAAAGTACCAAGTTGCAGCAAATGCTTTAAGGTTATAATATGCTCCAGTACTCCGACACGCCCACAGCATGTGCCACATAATTGTGCCGCTCCACCAGATGTCAGGTTTTAACCACGTCACTTTTAATTCGGCGACTGTTTCGACGAGGCTGCTCTAGCTGCGCGTCCATAGTTCGTCAGTAGTTGAGCACATTCACCCAAAAAATTGCAGGTGACAACTGTGAGGCTATTCGATTATTTCAAAGGTACTTAGATGAATAGCAGTTCAATATCATGTGGGAGTAAGGTATCCTACTCCGAGTTTTAAGGATGGTAGCCGTTATCAACCCACCAACTATCGCCTATTGATCCTCCTCCCAGTGCTCTCGAAGATAATGGTGCTGATCATAGCTGAAGCACTGGAGAGTTAGTTGAAATGATTTAAAATGATTACACCGGAGCAACAGGGCTTCCGTCAAAATCGGTCATGTACAACCAACCCACTGATTACGCGTAGTAGTTGGACCGATCTGACCCATAGAGGGACCGGAACCGATGCCACTTATCTGTTTTTCTAAAACCTTCAACCGCTTAGATCACCGAACGCTTCTCCAAAAGCTACAAACCAATGGTATATAAAACCCTATTCAGGAATAAATCGAGAACTTACTTCTTCAGCAGCGGCCGCAGTTAGGATCCGAGCACACTGTTATATCAAAATGAGGTTGAGTGCGGTGGTCCACAAGGATTAGTGTTAAGGCCACACTTATTCTCAAGCTTCACTAACGAGTTCGCACGTGTCATCGAGTCGAACTACTTACACTTTGCCGATAATATCCTGATTTGACGGACGATCGGTAACTAGGAAATGGGTGACTTGCTGAAACGAGACTTAGAAAGTGCTTGTGGATGGTCAAAGACTAATCTGAATCCGTTTAACACGGATAAGTGTAAAGTGATGCATTTGCATCACCTGCCGAATAACAACTACAGGTTGGTAGACTACACCTAAAAACAGCTCCACATGAGCGCGATCTTAGAGTGATGATTCAAGATGACTTTGATTGTTCGGGTCGATCCGTGAGGGTACACTCGATGGCAAAATAACTCCTAATGGTATTAGATGTAGAAGTGGACGACGCGCCGGGTAAGCAGCACTAAATTCACAGAAAGACTCAGGGGTAAAAAGAACAAAGGTTACCGTGCACACATACACACACGGCGAGCCAAAAAAACAAAATGGGGGACTGAGCACTGTTATGTACACGGATACAGAGAGTGAGGAGGTAGACGAGTGCGAGGAGGGCGCAAAACAGTGTGGAGACACGAGTCGTTATCCCAGACGCTGCCACACAGTGCGAGTACCACTTTTGGGAGTTTGATTTGATTTCGTCAAGTGCTTCCGATGAGCGTATGATCCAAGACGACTGGCCAACGAGCTGAAGTGAGTAAAGGAGTGGATCAACTTGAGGCGATCAGGTAGTGTGAGAAGGAACAATTTTGCGTTATGAATGCTATTATTGATGAAGTGGGAATGCTAGTAACAAAAGTTTTTACACCACCCGCCGAAAACAAGCCAGAAGGGAAACGAAATTGGATCCAAGCGTACCGAGAATTGGAGTTTTGTTCCTCCAAATCGGCAACCATGCTCATGGACGACAATAAACGCCGCGTTCTGAATGCATTTTCATCTTCGTCCGACACCTCTCCTGGGCTCATGGGTGGTTCCGAATCTGGCATTAAGGTGATGGTGGTAGTTCCGTTCTCCGTGTGGCGGAAAACCTTACGGTTGATGGTTTTAGAGCCTGAGAACAAAAACGGCTTGTGTGGAAGGCAAGGAGGGTCACGAGCCCACGGCTCTCGGAGATCGATTACGTTGATATTGTCCATCGGTGGAGGGCTAAAGGAACGATCATCCATAAGCCAACGATCGGGTGGAGGTCCATCTTTTTTACGAGGCCACTTACGTGGCTGCCTTGGAGACTTGGGAGTTGGAAAGTCTACAAAAAGCAGAGTGAAGACCACTTTGGGCGAGGCGGGCAAAAATCGATGGGACTGGTTACTCACAGAAAGCATGTTCGAAATAACCCGTGGGCTATACTTTCAAACACATTCAGTACAATTTTCCTTTCCGTGGTTACCTAATTCCTGTTATCATTAGACCGAAATTATTTGTTGAGAGTAGCAAATTTTTCACAATGACGCATATGAAATGATCAACTCGCTAGCGTATAATATCATCGGACGTCTATACCACAACATTCCTTCCCGAGGTTACCTTGTTACTGCTTTTCGCTGGCTTGGAAAATTCAAGTGTAATCATTTTGTACTATCTTGTCAAGTATTCCAGACAGGCAACAGCAGTAGGCCGGTACGCAGTAGCGAGGCTTCGATGCCGCGCGGCCAACACCAGTCGCATGCGGGCTGAAGATACTGTGAGGGTAGCCCGGTCCCTACGCAGGCTAGAACCCCCGCCCCGGATCACAAAGCAGACTTGGGATCCTTCAGACCACGGGCTAGTAATCGAGGTGGAGGGTGTTAGACAAGTAGGCACCTTGCCAACATTCACATCCAGCGCATTCACACCGGGGATACGAAACAACCACCACCGAATTTGAAGAAAATAAATACACAAAAAGGACACGGAAATGCGGCAGAATAAGAGAGCTGAGTGAAATAAATAAATAAATTTGTATATTTACCGACGGACGGTACACGGCCCCATAAGTGGGAGCGATCATAAAGAGGAATACTTCGTATACAGAATAGGAAGATCTAGTTTAAGTATAAGTCGGTGTAGCTCAATTGCGGTGAAGAAGCATGCTGTATGCAACATCAACCTCAGCATGAGGCACCATAAGAATACGAAAGAACACAAGAGTGCGAAAAACACTCTTTCCGATAAACCTCATCAGGTACCTACAATTATAAAATTGAGAGTTGGAACAGGATAGGTTGGTGAAGCGCAGCAGTGATTGGCGGAAACAGAACGAGAACAGAAACTGCTGCGCTTCACCAGCCTATCCGGTTCCAACTCCCCATTTCATAATTGTAAACGCCTGATGAGATTAAGAAAGTGCTCTTCGTAACCTTGTGTCCTAAAAATTCCATGGGTATAATTTTTGAGTGAATAAGGTAGAATATGAAAGAAAATAAACATGCAAACTGTACGGTAAATATGCGACAGAATGCCTTAACTAGGCAAATCAAAATGTGTATGATTTCCAATCTGTTGTTAGGGTGATCTTGGACAAGTGAAAGTGTAAATCAGAGAATATCAACCGACTAGCACCGAAAAGTAAAGAGAAAAACGCGCGAAAGAAACCGGGAAGGTGCAGAGGAAAAAAGAACTGCGCAAACCAAAGAAAATGGGCTAATGCGGAGCTAATGTCATGCGGAAAAACTAAGTGCAATTAACCCTAGCCCAATTGAGATGAAACATGATAAACGTAAATTACATGATGAGCGGTAGTGAGGATTTTGGTATAATTCACCTAATTCATCATCGTCACTCCTAATCAGCAGGTTTGGGCTAGTATGGAAAAGCCCTAGACGCCAAGGTTTCGACCTTCTGGGTCTCGTCAGTGGTGCACCTCTCAGCGGACCCTACCGGGTTCCGCCCCCTTGACTTTAGGATGCCAGCAGCGAGTGCCATTTCGCCATGGGTGACAGTCGCGGATCTGCGTGATCGACAGTTGACTATGATATAGCCCGGCTCATCTTCCACTGCCATGCCAGTTACGAACTGTGCAGAGGACAGTGACTAGCCTCACGAGCCAGGACTTTCTGCATAGTGCCTATGTACGACAAAGGACTTAGAAGCTATACGGACAGATTTTATATTACTGATGAGTAGTAGTGAGAATTTTGGTATAATTCAGCTAATTCATCATCGTCACGCAAACTACATGGTTGACGGCATCCGGTTCCGGATTTGCTTGTCACTGGGGCTTCCATAGGAAAGCAACAGGATGCCTGCGCCTACAGAGGGAACGTGGGTTGCTTCCGCTGTACCACCCACAGCTCCATCCAACACACCCATATCCAGTTTTAAATCTGAAGAAATAAGACCGGGAGGCATGTGGATGGGAGCCCACGTCTCATCAACGGACTCGACCCACACTCCTTCAACATGCACAATAGCAGTATCTCTGACCAACTAATTTGAAAATTATGCGTAGGTAGATGGTATCTGCACACAGACGTGTTGCGATGTAACGTACCCCTTAAGCCAGGTGATGCTTTGGGTGATGTAACAGCACCCCCGCGTCTGGTCCATTCACAGAGTGACGAAGAAAAGCTCCCAGATAGTACAAATCCAACAACATAAATCTCAACCCAAGGCTGTTACCAGTGGGGTGGTACAAGGCAGTGTTCTTGGTCCATTGCTATTTCTACTTTACGTTAACGACGTCTTCAGCGTAGTTAAATGCGGCACACCTTATCTTTTCGCCGATGACATCAAAATAGTGTACTCCTTCCATCCTACCAACCTCAGAAATACTCTAATGGAAATCCAACTGGACCTCCATGCGCTTGAAGCTTGGTGCAACACATGGAAAATGTCTTTCAACACTGACAAATGTAGCGCGATGTTATACAGGTGCAATGTTAAGCACAATGCTCTGACCCTAGATAGCAAACCACTTACTATCTGTCAGACCATCTGTGACCTAGGGCTTCGCTACTCATATTCCCTTAACTTCTCAGAACAAGCATTTTATGCAACAGCCAGAGCTAAACAACGCATTGCATTACTATTCAAAAATCTTACTCTACGAGATTCAATTTGTTCAATGTATGAATCATTCGCCCGCCCTTTACTTGAATATTGCTCAATGGTGTATAGCAATTCCAGGAAGCATGATCGTATCGCTATAGAAAAGGTACAAAGAGCGTTTACAAAGCGCCTTATTGGTACGAGCTTAGTGTTACCCTATTCTGAGCGATGCGACTTACTTAAGCTTGACCCAATATGGCTTCGACGCCTAAAAGTAAACTTAGCACTTTTTTTTCAATATCCTGCACAAAATGTTCACACCCCTAGCATTGATCTATCACTCATGAAAACAAATAGATACAATACACGCAATAGTGAAAATTCTGTGATGGTAAGAAGGTCAAAGACAAACATATCAGCAAACTTTTTCCTTAATCGGTACTCCCGTATTTGGAACAAATTGCCGACCGATATTCGTACTAGCACATCTGAGTATAACTTTCGTAGAAAGCTTGACGAATATCTTACAGTCAGCAATGTGATTATGCTCCTGCGTTGCCCTACAACTATTCAACAAACGTATGAACAAGGTCCAGACAACATATAGCTGCAAGTTGCAATTGACTGTATCAGTCAGATCAACAAACACCCGTTGATTCCCTGCTTACCCTTCTCTTTTATTGCTCACTCCGGATCTGCCTGCCCGAAAGCTCACTGCTGATTAGTGGCTCCACTGATACATCGATGGGTTGGAGGTCCAGGCTTCTGTTATCCTCTTCATCCCATCTTGGCTCACTATACTTCCCCTTGATTTTACTTGGCTCCACTGCAACCATGTGTCAGTTGAATCACTGGCAACTTGGTTAACTGAACTCCCAAATCCGGTAAACTATCTCTCCAATCGTTTTTTCTCTTTCGTTTCACCCGCTGGCACACCTACCATTCGTTTGTGAAAGCACTGACGCTTTGGTAGGTAAAGCACCCGGATCCTTTCTTTACATCTTTAACCCACCTTGCTCCCCAACACTTAGCTTCGGTTTTCACTTGACCATATCTTGCTGGTGAGTCAACCGACACATTGTCAACAACAATATGTTTGCCACTCAGGACTACTGTAACCTCGTAAACATATCACTGGCGTTCTGTTGGACCAATTCCCTGCATAATCAAACTCCTAGCGCAGTTAGCCAAACTACTAAAGGTTCAGCATTCTTGTTCACAGCCCACAACCCACACATCTTAAGTAATCCGAAATCCGTATTCCGCCTCCTAATTGTAAACAACATCTACAATACAATAATAAGGTAGTTGCTTAAATATTTCCCTTTTATACTGTGCAGTAATGTGGACTTATTTTTCCCTGTTAGCCAGACCCATACTGCTGTTCCTTATGCTGTGTCCAGAAATTTGGTTGCGAGACCCTCCCCACACTATATTATTCTCGATTCCACACATGTACATAATTCCCTAGGAAGTTTTCAACCTCCATCGCGCTAATACTTACTAATACTTGCTATTTCCCTTCTATTTACGTTGATCCGGACCACGACTCGTTCAACGGTACGATGAGATACTTGCTACCGAAGAAAGTTGGAGCTGCATAAGAATAAATTACAACTTGAATCCAATCCCACTCAATTCGAATCTCCTCGCATCCGATAAACAATTTCAGCTTCAGAGAAAACTTGTACATACTGATCGGTCCAGGGTCTCTGGAACGTGTCTCACCTTTCTGAGAAATATACCTATTATTATTATTATTATTATTATTATTATTATTATTTTAGTGAATGGGACCTGTAGCGGCAGCTTTGTAC